GAGGAGACAAAATTATAGAAGGCAAACCAACTGAAATGTAAGCTGAGAGAGCAAAGGACAGGGCAGAATATGGGTTTGTAGTGCCATCTCAAAAAGACATCTGTTTTTAGGATAATGGGCTTCGAGGGGTAGACAGAAGTCATTTTGGTAAGAGACTGATTTAGATGACGGCTGCAGTGATAAAATAGGCCGCACGGATTGGCTTTATAGCAGCTGATAATGTAATTGGTGCCAGAAAAAGTAAAAATAATTTGTCAAAATTTAATACAACGACCTGAATATAGAATATAGCTATTCAATAGTAATATAGCTGATAATATATTGCATTATCATAATAGTGTTATATAATTATTTCACGCTAATAACATAATCATTTTCTTAATTTCTGATTACTCTAATTGCCCCACATTATTCAGCTGGGCCCACTCTATTGGTTGATAAAAATCTATTATGGTGACTCATCGACAGAAAAAAAAAATCTAATTTGTCCTCTACTAGGACAACATTTCCTCAGATAATTAAAGACTAAAATAAAACATCCAAAGTAATGTAATTTTTCAAGGCCTGATGAGCTAAATTATGCCATTTGGTAAATGTCATGCCTTTGGACTGTCATTAGTTGATTTCTTTGCATTTGTGAACTGTGTTTGTATCTCATTGACTTTTTACAGGGGATTTCAACAAAGGGCATCTCCACATGCACTCCAGGTATTAGGAGACGTGCATGCGAGGCGTCTGAATTTTAGTTCTTGCAGTTTTCCTGCTATTTGCCGTGCCGCGTGACTTCAAAGACGCGCTTTCACAGAGGCGTGATGGTGAAACCGGCTTGAAAGGGGCAGTGAGAGACTGTGCCTTCAGCTGGAAGTGCAGACTGACGTTAGATTTGGACGGACAGTCTGGATGCAATAATTTCAACAAGGACACTTCAATTTGAATACTGGCTTTAAGGTGTCACATCAGACATCACTTAGTTTGGAGATAATGAGGTGTAAAAGGTGCATGGGTAGGCACAAGTCACTTTCAGGCTGCTGGTTGAGAAAATGGGCTGCTGTGATAAAGCGGACTAGGAGGAATAGCAAGAGGAAATTGCAAAAATATGTCCTGTATCATTTTATCTGTCCGTTCTCACTTTTTTCTGGCATCCTGACCCCTGCCATCCTCTGTGCGGATGAGTGCTTCCTTACACTGTGGACCCTGGAGATTGAGGAGATTGGCCAGAGAACCCAGAGCATGAAACCAACTGATAATGAAATATGGCTGGGTTTCTTCAAGAACAAGATAAGGCCTGCTTCTCATCTCTGTTCCCGCTATCAGCCTCTCAAGATCTAATGCGATCCGTGGAAGAGGATGTGCCTATTTAAAGCCGTACGTACAATACAAGCACATGAACGTATGATTATTAACATGATACATGGAAAGTTGCATCTAAAGTTGTGAATCTAAAAACATACACAATTCAAGCCAGCTATCATTTCAATAATGTGAATCAATGTGAATCATTGTCTTTTGGTTGATTAACCTGTAACTTATGTCAGTGCTACCATTCCAACGACCTGAAAAAGACTTTATGCATCTTTAAAATAAAAGTGGTACCTTTTGTGGCCAGTGTTGCAGCAGATACATTTTGCTTAACAGTGTGAGTCATGCAGCATCTGACCAAATGGCAGTATACAGTGGGGCAAAAAAGTATTTAGTCAGCCACCGATTGTGCAAGTTCCCCCACTTAAAATGATGACAGAGGTCAGTAATTTGCACCAGAGGTACACTTCAACTGTGAGAGACAGAATGTGAAAAAAAAATCCATGAATTCACATGGTAGGATTTGTAAAGAATTTATTCGTAAATTAGGGTGGAAAATAAGTATTTGGTCACCTCAAACAAGGAAAATCTCTGGCTCTCACAGACCTGTAATGTCTTCTGTAAGAAGCTTTTCTGTCCCCCACTCGTTACCTGTATGAATGGCACCTGTTTGAACTCATCATCTGTATCAAAGACACCTGTCCACAGCCTCAAACAGTCAGACTCCAAACTCCGCCATGGCCAAGACCAAAGAGCTTTCGAAGGACACCAGGAAAAGTATTGTAGACCTGCACCAGACTGGGAAGAGTGAATCTACAATAGGCAAGCAGCTTGGTGTGAAAAAATCAACTGTGGGAGCAATCATCAGAAAATGGAAGACATACAAGACCACTGATAATCTCCCTCGATCTGGGGCTCCACGCAAGATCTCATCCCGTGGGGTCAAAATGATTGTTAGCATGGTTGGTAATGTTCCAAGAACCACACGGGGGGACCAGGTGAATGACCTGCAGAGAGCTGGGACCAAAGTAACAAAGGTCACCAACAGTAACACACTACAACGGCAGGGAATCAAATCCCGCAGTGCCAGACGCGTTCCGCTGCGGAAGCCAGTGCATGTCCAGGCCCGTCTGAAGTTTGCCAGAGAGCACATGGATGATACAGCAGAGGATTGGGAGAATGTCATGTGGTCAGATGAAACCCAAGTAGAACTTTTTGGTATAAACTCAACTCGTCGTGTTTGGAGGAAGAAGAATACTGAGTTGCATCCCAAGAACACCATACCTACTGTGAAGCATGGGGGTGGGAACATCATGCTATGGGGCTGTTTTTCTCCCAAGGGGACAGGACGACTGATCCGTGTTAAGGACAGAATGAATGGGGCCATGTATCGTGAGATTTTGAGCCAAAACCCCCTTCCATCAGTGAGAACTTTGAAGATGAAACGAGGCTGGGTCTTCCAACATGACAATGATCCAAAACACACCGCCCGGGCAACAAAGGAGTGGCTCCGTAAGAAGCATTTGAAAGTCCTGGAGTGGCCTAGCCAGTCTCCAGACCTCAACCCCATAGAAAATCTGTGGCGGGAGTTGAAAGTCCGTGTTGCTCGGCGACAGCCCCAAAACATCACTGCTCTCGAGAAGATCTGCATGGAGGAATGGGCCAAAATACCAGCTACTGTGTGTGCAAACCTGGTAAAGACCTATAGTAAACGTTTGACCTCTGTTATTACCAACAAAGGTTATGTTACAAAGTATTGAGTTGTATTTTTGTTATTGACCAAATACTTATTTTCCACCCTGATTTACGAATAAATTCTTTACAAATCCTACCATGTGAATTCATGGATTTTTTTTTCACATTCTGTCTCTCACAGTTGAAGTGTACCTCTGGTGCAAATTACTGACCTCTGTCATCATTTTAAGTGGGGGAACTTGCACAATCGGTGGCTGACTAAATACTTTTTTGCCCCACTGTATACTGCACTGGAATGAAGAACATGTTCCATTACCAATAGAGCTGGGGTTCCCATAGTTTCTATGACCATGGGTGGATTTAGAAAGCTGGCAATGGTCATTTCTGGACATTAGAGTCAAAACTGATAATGCGTTTCTCTATTTGAATGATATAAACTCTTTATATCTTCTTCATCTTTCCTTGTCATGCTTGTAGGTTGTATGAAATGCTACACCCTGGCCACAGAACAAGAACTTATGTGGAATCACATAAAGAAGTAGCGCAGGCCATCATACTTTTAAAAACTGCACCAACCAGAGGAGAAAACTGAGGGCTGAAACACTAACGCTATTCGTTTTGAGCATGGCTTCTATGTCAGAGAACGCCATGTTTAGCTAGCTTGATTGTTAGCTATGCGTTAGCAAGCTACTGTAGTGAGGTAAGGCATTTAAAACAATACAGCGTTGACATATAGCCAATATCAACACAATATTTTTTGGTGTCTGTTTTAGCTAACTTCCATATTCAAATATCAGTTATAGGCTAGACCATTTTTTTAAAATGGTGACCAAAAGTGCAGTAATAGCATCCTGCAGATGCTATACTAGCTCATGCATTATTGTCTGTATCCACTTTTGTTCTTAAAGACTCAGTTCAGCAGGTTGCAGAAGTGTACTACAGAGTTTTTGCTATGCTCAACTTATTCCCCGTGTTATAGAAAAGGAGACACCTGGATAGGATTCAATGCAATTAAAAAGCAGTGTTTCCCTTAAAATGTGCACTGTATTTTTTCAGTAGGCTGAAGTGAGCTGTTGCTCTAACATCACTGATTTTCTCATACCTCAGGCACTATTAAGTGATGAAGGCAAAAGCTGGAGCACATTTTGATAAGTCTTTAAATGTTGTTTTGAATATACTGTTATTTACCTTCTTTAATGCCAGGAAAGCAATATGGCCACAATTTAACACCTAGAGTTACCTGGTTACTACAGTAGATTTGTATAATGGCAACATCCCAGGCATTTATTCATTTTTAGCCATTCTACAAGATAGCCACATTGCCTTTCTCCAAATGTTGCTGACGTAACATTTCCTTGCAAAACTCCAAAACAAAAAACAAGATCTATACAAAGACCTGCTGACAAGCCACCCCCACACAGTGTAATTTACTGAGTGACAATAAGACAGAAAGGATTCTGATGCTGTCTGAACTCTAGTGGAGGTCTGACAGTACTGCTGAGAGCAGACTAAAAGCTTATTGTGACAAACCAAAGGCAGTTATGAATTGTCTGTGCCCTCTGTGACTATTCCAAACGACAAACCCTAAAAGTTTCCATAAAAATGCTAATATGGATTATAAAGAGAGCCTCCAGTACTTTCCGTCAGCTGAAAGAGGCTATCATCTGGAAATTTAGTTGACATTAGTCCTAATATGGTTCCTGTATAGATTTTTTTTCCCTCTTAAACTGTCAGTAGGTGAGGGAATTTCAACGGTAACAGCGTTTCAACAGTATAATAAGTTGTGTGTGGTTGATGGCGGTTTTCGTGTTCCAGCCACATCTAGGTTGATGATTGGCATGTTGAATCATCATCAGCCCTGTGTCTGTGTGTGTGTGTGTGTGTGTGTGCGTGCGCGCGCTAAAAGCAGAGGAACTGAACTCCCCGCCACCGTCACATTGCATTACCGACTCAGTGGCACGGTATCATCACATCAAATTAGTCTTAATGAACACAAGCGAGTCGACTGAGGAGAGAGATAATCAAACTTTTATTAAATGACTTAATCTTCTGTACATGCATAATGCAGTGGAAAGAGAGATGGGTCTGTGGTGTCTGTCTACGTGGGGATGATCTTTACCCCAAAACATGTGAATGTATGTGGAAGCAGTGAGCCTAAAGATCATTTGCCACAGCGCATGAGATCACCGTGCACCTCCTCGCTGGGAGAGGAGCGGCTAAATAAAATAAGAAAGTAAAATTATGCTACCATCAAAGCCTGTTCCCTTGAGTAAACAAAAGAGATGCATTTCAAACAGTATGCTCCTTCAGTTCATTTGGTTATCATACAAAAAGAAAATGCACTATAACTCACTCCATGCATTCTAGAAGGCAGAAGAACAGAAGTAAAATATGGAGTTACTTCTGTGTTATTAAACAGCAGGGTTTACAATAAAGAAACTGTAAATATTAGACCTAAAATAGTTTAGGTGCAAGTAAAATTTATCATTTAAAATATTATTCCAAATGTACTGTTTACAAAAGCAGAAGCTTTGCTTACCGTTGACCTGAATCTCACGGGTCTGAGCTACAAAGAAATATGTAAGACACTTTCAAAGTAAAAGTTGTGCCTTATTGCCGAAATCGACATGTTTCACAAGGCTTAACTTTTATTCTAAGGCAAACGGTCTCCATTTCCAGTTTGTTTCACAACCGCTCTGCGAGTAGCTAGCAAATATTTGCAGATAACTCCTCTTCCAAGCAAACTACAGGGAACTACAGAATTCTGCTAGTGACTGAAGCAATTGCAAGGTTGTTTTTTTTTAGTGCAGCAACATAATTCCTTGTGACAAATTTCACAAGACCTAACAGGCAACCTCCCACAACCACTTGCCAACCAGTCAGGAAATACCAATTTTTCTCTAGTTACTAGCCGTTCATCGACTGGTCTCTAGGCCTGTGTGACTGGGGCCTAAATAATGCTGGCCTACTAAGTGGCAACCAAAATATATGAGAGCCTATTTTTTCCACATTTTATTAATGTACAGTGCCAGCCAATCGTTGCGTCTAAAAAGGTTACACACCCGGTCAGCATTCACATATAGCAGCAACCCTCTTCGTCTCTATGACAGGAAGTTGTGAAGAGTAAGGTGGAAAATAAGATCTCGATCTCACTGCATTAATCACGCAGTACTTGGACCTAGAAAATTAATGGTTTTACATCCACTCTATCAGATGAAAGTGACACATAGCCAGAACATTACATGGCTATATTCATTTAGACAGGTTTGTGGACTTTAAAGGAGAAACGATTGCTGGTGCTAGCTTTAGCCACACTCAGCTAACTGATCTAATATGTTGAAGTCAAGCCAGAAAGTGTTACATTTAGCACATTTTTAAAATATAGTCAGATTGCTGGAGAATATAAAGATTTTCAAATGCATCTTCAAATACTTTATTATTCTGATTTTTCCCCCCTCATATTTAAGTGACAAGTAAAATTAGATGCCGGGAACACCCCTGGTAAAGAGCACTGATACTCTGTTTTCCAAAAAAATTGAAAATCAGTGAACATTTGTATAGTCTCAACTTCAGTACTTCAATCTTAGCATTCAATATCAATTGCTGCCAATTCATACAGCTCATTATAAAACAGCAGTCTACATGGAACAGGTCAGATGTAGCATCTTTGCTATGAAACTTTTGAATAAGCAAAACTTTTGAATTCATAAACAACTTTTAGATTTCCAAAAACGTTGGATTTACAAAGACGTTTTTCTTGCAAGAAAACATTTTGATCACAGTGTCTTCAGTTTTGCTCTCACAATTTTCAAAACTGCCAATTAATTCTGTTTAAACCGCATATTAAAGGCCCAGAACACTCGGTACTAAACATCTATTAAATATCACAAAGGCTGAACTTGTAAACAAGAGCAAAATATTTTTTAAGAAAATGAATCCACATATATGATAGAGAAGGATTTTACCCAAAGACGTTTCATAAGTGTCAGCTATAATACTCAAGATGTCGACACTGAAATGAGTAAAGCATTTTATTGATATTATTTTTAAACTGATTGTTTAAATGGGATATATTCAAAATGCAATTTTTTTGCAGATTAGCACTTGTGGGATTAAGATGTACCAAAAAGTTATTGGAAGAAAGTAAATCTGGCACCAGTGTCCATTAATAAAGCACCAGGCTTTAACCATTTAAAAAAAAAAAATCTCACATGCATTGCAAGGCACTATGCCCACTTTGGCTGCTGATACTGTAGCACTAATTATATTGGATTTGGTCCTAAACAGCAGCACTGCACTGGCTTCAGACACAATTCAAACATTGCAACAATGGAAATCTTCTTCAGTTTACCTGTGTGAGTATTGGGTGTAGTTTGTGGAGATGTTTGAAAAGACTTTGTGTGCGCTTGTTTTTGTAGCACATACATTCAATGTATTTTAGCATCTTTTTTTTTTTAATGTCCTTATCAGAAATGAAAAAAAATTAACAATCTAAATGGCCTATATACAATACATTTACATATAATATGTATAGGATAACCGAAAATCCCCACCACTCAGTTCAGCTTTCACAACAATTGGAATAATCCTCCTCAGATAGGAGGGATGCATTTTAAGGCTGTGCGCCTCAGATGACAGCTGATTTACAGTCTCACTCTAACAGACAAAAAACACAGATTCAAACACATAAAAGGTGACCCTGCTGGACTTGACCCAGAGCAGGAGGCTGGTTTGGAGAGGGGAGACGACAGAGTTGCTGGGCTGTTGTGCCGGATCTGGTTCTACCTCGTCAGCTGGCCTACCACTTTCAGCAGAGTCTTGTTCTCTTGTTTGAGTTGCTCGTTCTCATCTTCGATGTCATCCAGGTCCTGTGAAAAGGGCACAACACACACATATCTCTCTGTTTAGTTCCATCAGGACCCATTTAACCACATAAATATTCAAGACCCTGCCTCTATACCGCTGAGAGGCCTGATCAGGTTGTGGAGTGTTCGTCTGAGAGTTAAAATGAGCATTGCTTGCTGCCAGGTCCCCCCCTCCCCCCCCCTTCCATTTGGGCTGCCTTGATAGCAACAAATTAGACATTAACAGCTTCAATTAGTTGCAAATGAGAGAAGCTCTAAGTTGCCACAGCGCTGTCTCATCAAAGTGACACTCCTCATTTTCGGTTTCTTCCATCACCGGCCATGATTGCATGACTGTTGGGAATGAGCTGAACAACACTTGGAGGGACTTAAAAAGTCAAATTAAGCAGGTCACAGGTTTACAACACAGCTTGCTGTCTCTGCGGCAAAAAAGGGACGTAAAGACTAACGTAAGGTGAGACACTAACAAGAGAGAGGTGGGGTTTGGTTCCTTCTTTTGCACCAAGATGCAGATAACTTGATCTGCCGCTCACAAACGGGGTGGGAGGGGTGACTGTTGTTGTGAATTGGCGTCACATAGATACAGTTGATTTCAATTTTATTAGCAAATTTAAGACATTTGAAGACTTTAAAGACTCAAAAACATGATAGCTGTCACCTGTCTGTCAGATGCCTGTAACACATAGCTGCTTCCAGAGAAAAATCTTCAAAAGTTTAATGTAGACACTACAATCACCTAAAGAATCTAGTGCTGCATTAAGTAACAACTCTATACTGAGTAATAGTGATAAGCAAGTAAAAAGCTGTTTGCTAAGAATATTGTATCAACTTAGAAAAAGAAAAAAAGGACAATTATTGCAGATTTAACCTTTAGGAAATATAAAAGCTCTTTTTCTTTCTCATTAGATGAGCCCATCAGTATTTACTGTGTAAGCTTTCACCGAACACTCTGCAAGACTCTCTTTTCAAACCATATCAGTGGGGAGAAAGACGTCCAGCAGTTGAGCTTTATCTTTTCTTTCTCTCCCAAATAAACTTCTACAGTGACTGAGGGTTCAATTTTACTCTGCAGAGACGCCGACTGGATCAACTCTTATCTCCTGCTATAACATCAGGCCCTGCAGGAGCCTCTCTCAGGGACGTTTCTGATGGCTCGCTGCCTGCATTAACCATCCTTGGATAAATCACTTCTCTTATGGCCAACCTCTCCTATATGTGATGCTATCAGTATGATGCTTCCTGTATATTGTGCTCTTTTTGGGGTTTGCAGTGTGTTTGATAATGACAAAAGCATTTAGATAATAAGCAAGCAAGAAAAATGTACACCATTTTCCACCCACCAGACTCGTGATCCAGAAAACACAGTAAAAAGCTGCAAGTACAGAAGGTTTGGAGAGGTTTCACTACGGCTATAAAGCCATCAGCCAACATGTTTCTCACCCTGCGTGCAGCATGAGGTGAAAGAAGGGGGAGAGAAAAAAAAAAAAAAAAAAAACCACACTCCAACCCATCAAGCCAAATGTGAAAGCACACCTGACCCCTGCTATTGGGTTCACTTTAGTGTGAAATGATCAGACTGTTATAGTTATGAGATCTGTCAAAAGCTCTTCTCACGATAATTGCAGCAGCAGCACTTATTATCGCTCGTCTTGCCATTCTCATGTCTTAACTGATCTTCCTGAGGGAGAACTGTTTAGTTCCTTTTTTCAGTGAGAAATGGGTGTTTTTTGTCTTTGTAAACACTCAATATTATCACCTCATCTACAAATGTGTTTTAACCCGATTTGAATCTCCTCTTAATAACCGTTCAGCCTATATAAGAGTTCATATTTTATTGACTTTGATTATTTTTGCCATGAAGATTTTACCAAAAACAGCATGCATCTCTTCATTGTTATTTCGAAATGGGCCTTAGTTTATGAAGTTACAATGAAATTCTTTTAACTAAACCCATTCTCATTCATAGTCATTCAAATACTACCACTTTGTCAATGCTACTGGGATTTCTGATGTAACCATAATGCATCTTGGCAATGACACCATGACACACACATGTACGCTACAGCAATATTAGTCTCCGTAAGCAAATATTCTGACAAAACATAAGACCATTTCAGAGTTTGTTAACATGTGACATCAAAATGCTCCATGAAGGAAGACCAAGCTTCCAAATCTGAAAAGTTGGGAGTGAAAGTAGTAGTCATTATTATTTCTTCTGCTTTGCTCGTCACACAGTGTTGCAGCTAAAGAAGAGTGATTCCAGAGTGTACATTGGATATAGTAAGATCACCCACTGGGTCTTATTCTTATGAACTCTCAAAGTTAATAGACAGTCACTGCTATGCTGTTTATTTTTTTAGAGCCAGATGTTACCTTAATGAGATGAGAAGCTGTGGATTGCCTAAGGTTACTAAAGTTAGTGAGCTTAGTTAGCAAGCTACCTTTGTAAACTGCCTAGATGCAATACACAGACATACATCTACTAATAAGGTCAAAGTAAGAGTGAAATAAAATACTAGAAGTGTATTTGGAAAGATTGTTCCAAACAACTAAACAGCATGCCATAATATTAATTATATTATCAACCAATGGACTGTTATCCAAACATAATTAAGCCTTATACATTCCTGTGTGGTGTCTATGTAGTAGACTGGTTATCAAGCAACATGAAAAGCAACTCAATAATTAAGATAAATCTGTAATCAACAAAGTTAACCCAGAGGTGTAAGGTGAACTTCAATTTCATTTTTGAATGTGGAGCCCAACTGTGAAAGTCACTTTATAATAAATGGTTGCTGATTGTAATACCACAGTGATTGGCTGAAATTGGCTAGGTTGTAATTTACTGTTCATCTAGTTTGGCCCATGGCTGCATTTTACTGTTTTGATTTGACTGTTAAATGACACAGTAAAAAAAATCACTTAGGAAGTTTCAATTCAAAGGGGTTTGAACTGCAATGGCCCAGTTCAGACTCGTTCTCCAGAAAGGTCCAAAAAAAACCCCATGATGCAGATAAAGAGCGTGAACACAGCTGTTAAAAGTAATTTTCAGTGGACTTCATCATTTCTTTCTTTTTTGCTGTATTCAACAAAAACTACTTGCATAAACCGAATGAAAGAAGCCAAAGAGGACTGCTTATCCTTCACTGTTCATCCAAGACTACTCAAATTTAGGCTGACAAAAAAACAGCTCAGTGGTGACACCATGATTGACGAATCAGTTACATATGAACCTACCTGCCACACGGAGCAACGCATTTTAATACTTTCAACTACTTGTGTTTCAGAGTGTTTAAATTGCAAATTACAGTAAGTTCCCCCCATTGTGTTTCAAGTTATATAAATTCAAAACTAAAAAAGTATGTTTATGTCCAGCTTCTGATAGACTGCAAGAATAATCAGTGTAGAAAAACACATAGCTATTACACACAAGGCCAGTAAAATGCCAGATGATGATTACAGCCCCCACAAGACGCCCACGCATGCAAACACAAAGGAACACTCAAAATATCAGACATCAGAGCAGAAAATTATGTAGGCTGTGCTCACTTGGTTCAGCAAGTCGATTTCCTCCTTCAGCTTCCCAATGAGATCATCTTTGTCCTGGTAGGCTTTCAGCAACCTGGCGTTCTCCTGACGCTCTCTGGCCAGCTCCTGAAAATGCACACAGATTGCACACATAGTTACATGAAAGGCAAATATTTTCACAAAGAAACAGTGCGTGGAATCTGCATCAAGGTGTACCAGGAAATCTGCCCTGTAATTAGTTTAGCTACACAAGATTTGGAATTTCATACATCGAAACAGTTGCCCTGGAGCATTGCTGTCTGAAGGGGAAAACAAAATGAAGTTAATCAAGATAAATACAACCCGAATCCAGTAAATTGGGAAAGATTGCAATGATGCAAATCTCTAAACTCATATTTATTCACAGTAGAACATAGAAAACATATCAAGTGATTAAAAACGAGACATTTTAGTGTTTCCAGAAATATATTAGTTCATTTTGATGATGAAAATGATCTTTAAAAAAAAAAAAAAGTTAGGACAGGGGCAACAAAAGGCTGGAAAACTAAGGGTTGCTAAAATGAAACTGCTTTCTTTTGGTGCAGTGGGGACCTAGGTTCACTAACATAGGTTTTCATAGGTGATTCTGAGCCCATGCAGCGATTTTGCATGGCTATTTTTAAAGCAGCAGCACCTGCGGACTCACAGTTTATGGCCAATGCATACAGAGATTACTCTGGATTCTTAGACTCAGACTTTAATGATATTATGAAACTCTCTTAGCACCCTTTGCATGTTCTCCCTGCGCCTGGGTGAGTTCTCTCTGGGTATTCAAGCTTACCCTCACACTCCAAAGGTATACTTGTTAGGTTAATTAGTGATTCTAAATTGGGTGTCGGGAGCGAATGAGAGTACGAATGATTGTCTCTCTGTCAGCTCTGGCTACCAGCCAGATTGCACCATGCCTCTTGCCCTGTCATACAGCTTGGATCGGGCTCCAGCACACCTGCAATCCTGAACTGCACGGGCAAAGAATAAAACAGAGGGGTGGATTTTTTTTAAAGTTGATGAACTATTTCATCAGAGCCACTCATAAAACTGTGAATTCCTTCCACTCATGAAAAACTCCCAGGGATGCTCCTTTTATACCTAATCACATTACTAATTAACTTTATTTGTTGCCAGATGTTGCACAACTCTCAGCTTTTTTTTCCTTGCTTTTTTTAAATTGTATTTTTAAAATCAGTTTCTGAAAAACATGCGACTGCTTTTTATTTGGATCTTACAAAGGCAAAAGTGTAGAGTAAAAGTAAAAGTGAAGCAGCTACATTTAACAGTTATAAAAAAGGAAACGAAACGAGCCTCTGCACTGGTCTACTGAAAGAGATTACTTTATTCAAACCATATTTTTACTAGCAGAAACATTTGGTATTAAAAAGGCGTCAAGAACAGTCAACTGCGTTGACTTTTTGTAAGATGACATTTTTCCAATAATGTATGTAATTTTCTATTTCCCACTTCCACAGACTCTTCAAAAACCCACAATAATAAATCCACGCAGACTGTCAGTGAACAATGCATTAATAGTTTCTTTTATATAGTACTTTTGTGTTATTTTCAAATTGTACTTAAAAGCCAGTGTGTTCTTGTCCGCCTCCTCTAACAGCCACAGTGAAATAATGGATATTGTGCCTTCCTGAGAGAGACAACGATTGTATGCACATCATAAACCGAAAGTTAATGTGCACACATTTTCAAACTGCTGCTATTTTATCATGGAAATGAAGATTAAACCAGGACTTTGTAGTTTCACTTTCTGGCTCTTCCAGATAATCATGAAATTGCTTAAATTAAAAAAAAATGTATTATGCAGCTACAGTAGATGGCAATAGTCAAAGCTGGCATAATATGACTTTTAAAGCTACCATAGATAAGTGCAGCATTGTATCTCCTCTCAAAGACACCTGAACAAACATTTGTCTTATTTCTTTCATAAAATACAACAATACCAGCTGAAATTCCTTTTCTTTTATTCTGAATGTCTGTCATCTGACAATAACAGCGTTTGGGAATACTGTCCATTGTGCAAACATTAAAAAACATAATGCACAAAATACACTGTGCCCCAGAACATTGTAAAGTATGGGTATCAACAAATCTGTAAATATGGGTTGAATATGGAATTTTCATTGTATTTTCACTTCCCCAGGATGTTTCTTGCTTGCTAATATTACATCTGCTCAAAGCATTATGGGGACCAAAAAGGATGATGTTGGTTCTGCTTTCTAAGTTGCTCATTTTTATGTAAGAATCATTCCGTGAATTATTTAAAGTGGACAATGTTTTTTCTATTTTCTAGGACAGCATATATAAATAATTCTAAAATGCTCTGAAAGACGTCAGTGAGATTGATTGTCCTTAATCATCAAAGTTCTAACCCGAACCCTAAGCATCTTAGACCGCAGCTGATTAATACAATCATCTTCGTCAGCTCGGGTTGTGAGTAGAATGATGGGAAAAAGGACTTCCAAAATCTGGAATGACTCCCATGACTTAGCATTCAATACCTTCTCATTGTTTTTAAAGGAGACATGTACATACTTTCAGCTTTTTCTGTGAAAGATATATACAGTCTTTAACAAACATCTCTTATTTTTAAGCAAGGACCTGCGATCTAATGACCAACCCCTTTAGGGCCTGTTTGCAGCCACTGTGGGCAGACCCACATGGCCTACAGTGGGCCTTGCACCAGAGTAAAATGTGGCACATCTGGGCCCCGGACTGTGGGTAGTCCATAGTGTGAGCTGACTGTGGGCTGTCCAGACTAAGCAGAGAGGGGCCCTAAAAGGAGGCCCCTACTTTAGGCCCACTGTATCCGGTTGTTCAGTGATGACGCGACGAATCCTACTTCCGGGTCTAAAGTAGTCTGCGTTTAATATGGCTTTTGTGTTGTTAACATGTTTAATGTTATGTATTTTCTTCTATTTGATCTCAAAAAGCTCCTAAAACAGTCAGTGATCCCTGTTGACCTCCCTCGGCTTTTATTACCACTAATCATTTATTTAAGCTCAGTTTTTAAAACCTTAGGATGTAACTACAGCCCAGCCCATGCAGCAGTATATGAATGATTAACCTCGTATTGTGGATGGATTATCTCAGTTGTTCTCCTGGCTGAAGTTTGGTCCTTTTACAGCATTCTGCCATGCGATTACATTTGTTCCTGACCACCGAGAACACTCACGTTAACTTTTATCGAGTGGAAAAAAAGTTAGCTTGTTTATATTATGCTAACATAGCTGTGTCGCTAGCGGTCACATAGCACATCATTATATACCAGCTAGCCCAACTTCAGTAACCCTACAAACGTCACTGCTGTTTAGTTTTCTGTCTTCATTTATGCTGGAAGTGATAGCAGAGCTGTACGTTTTAATTTGTTTCCAAAACCCCGCAGTCAGGACATGCTATATTGATTTAGATAGAAGCTAGCGAGCTAACTCCCTGCTAACTTCTAACTCCGTTAAATGTCATAAATTCTGTTTTCATGGATGCCTGGATGTTAAACTCAATTGTTACACCTGGTAGAGCAGAACGCTGATCATTTTATTAAAGATGAAAGACTTTAGACAGTTTTTCAACTCTCAGTAATGCCATAGTGATCGTTTGATATATGGACCTGCAGCGGAGTTTAGACCCAGACACAGCTAGTGACGTCAGACTGAACAACCGGATATCAACACTCTAGGCTTTGGCTGCCCTAGTGGTGCCCCATCCAGGGCCCACATGTGCCCCATGGTACATTACTGCCACCAACTGGTAGGAAGCGTTGACCAGAATGTTCTTCAAAAATCAACAAAAACAAAACAAAAAAGAGCTACTTAGACCAAAAAGCTACCACAGCAGGTACACACACTAGTTGCCCAAAGAAAATTTTTATGGTGACCCCAAATGGGCCCCGCATGGGTTTTCAGTGGGCTACCTACTGTGGGTACCCACACTGAATTCCCTCTTGGGAGCCAAAAAGGCAAAATTGCTATGGGCTCCACAATAACAAGCCTAAATAGTGCCCGCACGGGATTTCTGTGAGTAAACCCACTGTGGAATGGTTCATTGAATACTCATTTTGGGCCCTAAAGGGCAAAACAGCTGTAGGCCCTTTGTGGGGTAAGTGTCTGCGTGCCCTGCCCCCACAGCCCCACAGTTCACCCGCAGCTACCCACTGAGAGCTTGAAGTCTCAGTGAAGTCTGAGATTTAGGTGCAGCTGTCTTATATGAGCAGACCTGCATCTGGAATGAAAAGTGAGATAAACAACAATGACAAAAATAATGTGAAATATGATTTCTGGACATTTGACAAAACCACTTCATGCTGAAGTCACAGAAGGTATGACTTTTCATAAGGCCACCCAAGTGACATTTGATTCCAAGTTGAGTTTCTAGAGTGGGAGCAGAGAGAGGGTGAGTGGCTGATAGGAGCTGTGCAGGAAGAAAAGACATATCTGTACTGAGAAAGGTCATCTATTCAACAACACTGAGGAGAATTTCTGTAAGTGCAGAGCCACAGTTTCCAGCCAGAAAATGTAGAACCTGGGCAGCTGCACAAAGGACTCAAAGTGGAATTTCATCTTAACAAAGTGCTACTGATAGAGGCTTTCAAGTTGGCCAAAAGATACAGCCTTGACTCACGGTTCACTGAGACGCTATAGAATTTTGATAGATGTCAATAACTGATATTACCTCAGCAATTTTAGATCTCCATGGTGTTCTGTGGGGATGAACGTAGTTTTAGTAACACCCAGAAAAGTCTAGAAGCTCAGTCCTGTTGTAATGCATCTAACCTGTGCATCAACTTTTGTGTTAGACCAATCCAGCTTTAAACAGCTGCATTTCCAAATATAATTCGGACATCGCACTTAGGCTTCCTGGCCTTGTGGCAGATATGCCATCTTCAGGCTTTGAAACTACTTGGCAACCATCTGGTAAAGCCCTAGCCATGTAAGCCTAAAGATTGGTCAATAACCACCTGGCAACCAACCATGACCACAAGCAAGTTTACTTCCCCCCAAAAGGTTGGGAAAAGTGAATTTGAACTATGAGATCAGATAGAGTCGACAATATCCTGGGATATGGATTCAGGAGACAGACACTATCTCTACTTTTAAGATTAGGCTTAAAACGTTCCTTTTTGCTAAAGCATATAGTTAGGGCTGGACCAGGTGACCCTGAATCCTCCCTTAGTTATGCTGCAATAGATGTAGGCTGCTGGGGGATTCCCATGATGCATTGAGTTTTTCCTTTCCAATCACCTTTCTCACTCACTATGTGTTAATAAACCTCTCTGCATTGAATCATATCTGTTATTAACCTCTGTCTCGTCGCAACAGATTGCCGCGCCCCTCCCTGAGCCTGGTCCTGCCGGAGGTTTCTTCCTGTTAAAAGGGAGTTTTTCCTTCCCACTGTTGCCAAAGTGCCTGCTCATAGGGGGTCATATGATTGTTGGGTTTTTCTCTGTATCTATGAAGCGCCTTCAGGCGACTTTTGTTGTGATTTGGCGCTATATAAATAAAATTTAATTGAATTGAATATCTGAGGATGGCAACTTGCCAATGCTAACCCAATCTCCATTCACCACCACCCTCTGCTCGCATATCTGACAGTTAAACTTCATTAAAATTAAATCTACAAATCTCTGAGGAGATGATATTAACTTCTATATGTTCTATAATATGGAGACAGGAATTAAATCTACAATAAGAAGAAATAAATTGAAGGACTGAAAAAACCAACTAAAACTAATTTTAAAAAAAGTTTTTTTTAAATACTCAAGAATTAGATCAACTCTAGTAATCCACAGCAAAAGAATCAGCAGATTGTCAGTAAATATTAAGCTCATTTGATAGGTAAGGACTGCCAAGAACAACAGGTGTTGACCTTATCACTGCAGGGAAGCTATAAAATCTGCCAACACATGTATTCTGACTCATCTGAATCAGAGCAGACGCTTACATTTACTCACTTTTGTGTCTTTAAGAAATAAAAACATCTAAGTTTTAAAGCAAATGTTAACTTCTTTTTTTTTCCAAAGTCAACTCCAATAAATCAAGAAATGCAACATTTAATTAAATGATAATATTATTTGGGTTATGTTTATGTGGACGAGGTTCGACTAGTAATATGACTTGTTAAAAGGTCAGTCTATTTACCCTCTCCAGGTCTTCTATCCTTTTCTCCAGACTTCCAGGTGCTGAAGCTCCTCCATCTCGGCCGTGGCGGTTGTGTCGCTGTCGGCTGTTACCGCCGGTGTCCTCCTCCAACCCCATTTGTGGAAAGCTGTTAGTAACAAACACAATATTGCTGAGCCTGTAAGTTGAATGCATCGAAATATTTTATACTTCACATTATACACGGCCACATTCAAAAGAAAAGGAAAGTTAGAAAAAGAGTACCATTTGTGCTTGATTTCTACTTTTCAAAGTGTCCAGTAGTGTATTCACACTGAGGCCGTTTGAAGGTATGAATCATACCCACATTGTAAAACTTCAATAGGGATGACACAGCCATCATCAAAAGAGCAGGTGGGGAATATCTTCTGCGTGTTTGCTCTTTCAATTAGGCATGCACTATTAAAGCCCCTCTCCCTTTTTATTCCTTTAATGGAGAAGGCCATCAAGGATGTGCAACTTTGGTATAAAAAGGATTCTGATTAAGAAACAATTTATATATTACAACTTCAAATAGGCTCAGGAATGGCAGTGGCAAGTTGTGCGTCCCTGCTGTTAAGCTGGTGGGGGGGTGTTGAAGTTTTGTATGCAGCTCAAACAGAACATTAAACTTATCTCGTTTTCATTTTTTCAGTGCTTAGAGACAGAGTCTGGGGCGGCTGGGAATGGAATATTCACGTGCAGTCAATTTCCTTACTGACCTTAATCCAATAATTATTGAAGTGGAAACTGGGAATGAAATGCTGGCTCTATACCTCATAACTACAACTACTCCCACTCCCCAGTAGCAAGAGACTATGACAGGTTTATATAATCTCCCTGGAAATAAAAAAAAAAAACTTAGATTGTAGGATTCAGTGTGTTGTCTGAAGGGGCTGGTTGGCAGATTTCTACAGCTGAAACAGACAGGAAAGCTGCTGGCAAGACACAGGACAAATACCTCCTTTGTACCATCTGTACTCTTTAAGACCCGCCAGATATGAAGTCCGCATGATTAGACAACTTTAACAAGTACTTTTAACTCTGAAATCGTAGAAGCAGCAGTGGAAACTGAGTATAAACTGTTAAATTTGTTTATTTTTCTCCAGTGCTCAGTTTCATGGAATGCCAATATTAAAAAAAAAAAAAAAAAAGTAATAGTAACCCGACAAGATCGGCTTTCTTGTTTTTGTTTTTCCTTTTGGCATGTTTAGTACATATCTGAAAGTAATAAGGCTGTAGTCTCAGCGCTCACTGGCTGGCGGGTCTAAAAACAGCAGTCTTGAGTTTTCTGCATAAGGATGTCCTCCCAACTTTTCCTACAATGTTCTTGTTTTTGAGTCTAAACATATCAGAATAATTCCACTATGTTTGGTCCAATTGTTTCATAGGTACCAGTGCATCCAGCAACGTGATATTGCTGGATGATATTGGGAGATTTCTCAGGATATGAGGCTTTTTAGCATTTTCTTTAAATAGTTCTTGTGCTGGGGCCGGGAGTTGATATAGTTCCATCTAAATGAAAAAAATAAAAAGAGGGTGACACAACATCTGCTACAAGGGTAGCAGATGTTTCTGACTGCAAAGCCTTTCTTGCAAGGGCAACTGCTGACCTGCCTCCATTGCTACCAGGCTGCATTTTGCAGACTGGCGTGAAGTGATGTCCAGGGAGCAGTTGAACTGATTTCCTCGGGAGATCTCCAAAGTAGCCACGGTGTAAGCAAAAGAGATATGGACCAAATAAACCAAAGTCTACCCTACATAATCCTCTCCCAGTTCACAAAGAAGTCCTTGAGGGTTTTACTTCCTCTAGATAGATCAAAGATTATTTTGGCATGAACTGGAACTGAATAAAGGTACAACAAAAACAGGTCTCATGACATAAATGGCTTAAAATCCTGCTCATACATATAAATTCTTCTTTCCTCTATTGAAGCAGCAGTGCCATTTCTCATACACACGCACAGGCAGTATTTTTGTGTACCTTGACATTTACAGAACAAGCATCTTATTTTCCTTCATTCTCCCTGAGCCAACATTGCAGCGGCCAGCGCTTTTGATCAAGAGGAGTCCTTGAAATGCTCTTGCTGACGCTCGTCTGCAAGATAAAGGTGACTTCATTTGTCTCTCTCATTGTGGCTCTTCGAGGCAACTTTATCAGCGTGAGTGCACACGAGCACACAGGCGCGTATATTGTGCAATTCGTGCCTTTGCTATGATGTCCCGGAAAAAAGATCCACGAGAGTCACACACAAACATCGCAAATACACGGACTCCCCAAGATGCACAGTGGGTGTTGAATCCAAGCCTAAACATCCAAAGCCTCGTCACTAAATATCACATTGTGGCACTTTAGCACCCCACAGGCTGAGGTCTGGGGGAGTTAGAGAGAGAGGCTAAGCCAATCGCACATTCTTGTGAGCCTCAGCAGGTGGGAAGGAGAAAGCACAGACAAGAGCACCAATAACAGCAACAGTCACAGGTATAATAACATCTCCCCACAAACAAAAGTGTCAATGTGTGGAATGAGTCAAAACTTCACTGGAGGCAACAGCACACTGGATTCAGTCGTCTGTTTAATGCTCTCATTACTTTAAAGCAAGACAGTATGAAGCCAGCTTCCATGCAGAGCTGCTTTGAGCTGCTAGTTTACAGATGCAGTCACTCCTCAGTCATCTCAGTGGCTGCTGGGTTTATAGGCAGCCAGAGGCAGCTTGGTTGTGCTTTGGTTTCTAAATCTTCAATCTTTCAGGTCCCCTGCTTATGTAGTTTCATTCTTTTCCCCCCCTTTGGAAAGACGGCACTTTAGACAGTGAAGATTTGTCGCCACCAGAGTACTGCCCCTCATTCATAACACACAGCACCTGGAGCAGACCTGCCCTGCCAGATAGGATTTTTGTCAGTTTATGAAACACAAGTCAAAAGCATGGTCCCAACTGACCTGAATCATCGTCTTCTGTGGAGATTTTTCCACTGAAAACTCTTAGTGACTGATAGTGTTTTTAGTTTTGCAACTCAAAAAAAGTTACTTAGTTTTTCTCTTTTATGCTTAAATGTAAACACATTTACACACCCAAATAAAATAAAACCCCTGGTGCATTCAGACTCCTCTGTGTTTCTCTCAGACTTCTCAGCAGGTGGGTGCATACCAGAGGGAGGCATTTGTGTCACTGCACAAGTTAATTTTAGCAAACACAGCCTTGACCTGGTGGCTGTTTCTCACATTATTTTCATAGGTGTGTGTCAGCTGCAAAAGGGCTCTGATTCAAATTCGGAAGAAGCATCTGGAAGCTCCAAAAACACTGACGAGGAAAGATAATGCTGGTTTTTGGATTTTAGACAGTAAAAGGTAAAATCATTACATTTAAAATGTAGATGCATGTTAGGTTAGAATGCTCTGACGTGCAATTTTTGTTATATTGTTTATCTTAGTAATTAATATGATAAATGAGATGCAGCTAATTGGATTGCAAATCAGATTTAAATTTAGTGTCATGTTACTATGAGTTTTTAAAAAGAAAAAAACCAAATGGTCTGAGAGGGAAGTAAATCAGAGCGCCACATGTGTTTTTAAATTGTTCATTCAGCCATCTTGTGTTGCCCAGCCCACCTGGTGGGTTATCCGTAGCGGAACAGCTGAGTGTCCAAGTGAGGCTAACCCAGCTGATGAGAGCAGCAGCCATAATTACATGGCCAGATTGAATGTCAGCTGGTGAACCTGACTGTCAGGGTTGGCCACAACCGCTCACTTTAGTTGCAAATAATGAAAAATAAATGCATGGCGGACTCACACTGAGGGACGTCAACTCTAAATGATACAATTTTCTGTGATGTACTTCATTATCATGGAAAATGAAGGGAAAATGCATCGTTTCAAGAGCCCCTCCCTTAAAAGAATACTAATTTTGATGACCTGTTTAGAAAGAACAGCAAAAACCAGTAAGATGAATGAAAACTCAAAGTAGAGCTATTCCCAGGAGGTTTCAGTCCAAACTGAAACTGAAAGAGTTTTTTTAGGCTGTTTGAGAAGGAAAGGTTGAAAGCCATTTATCAAATGCCAAAGCAAACTTGACCAAACAGCACCTCTCATTTTAGAACCAAAACCTTTCAAAGCAAATCGTTTACTCTGAGCACTCCCTGCCAGCCACAGCAGGGAAGTGATGGCCCGGACAAAGTGTCCAGGGTCCAGATGGTGTCCTGTCAACCAGAGTTCAAACGCATCATCTTTCTTGAACCATAATAGCAAGACAGTAGCAGCACTGAAGAGCAGGAAAAACAAACAAACAACAACAGTGACACATGAGGAAAAAGGCCCTCGGACTATTTCGGAGGAAATCTGCTCTCGTAATTAATTACTCAAACTGCTCTTTCTCATCCTGGCCTTTGGTGCTTCCCTTGACATATCACTAGTGATGTTATGGCAGATAAACTCCACTCTCAGTCGGGGTTAGAAAATATGAGCCTCACCTCTTGTAGCGGCCGCTTCCAGATCTTGGAGTCTCCTGAAACAAACAAACAAAGGAAAGATAAATGCTGCTAGTCCAAAAACTATAACTCAAGAGTTGCTTTAAGAAAAGAAGTTGACTTTTCTACAGTAATAATGATTTCAGAGAGAAACGGCAAGACATCTGGGTGATTTTGGTGTCATCATTATGCTTTGTTCATCTGCCTTTGGGTTGTATTGGTTCACCAAAAGAAAAAAAAGGCATCTACAGGATGAGAGAAATTTATCAGGGGCGGCATTTATAGAAAGCCTTTAGGTTGTCTGTGAACCTTTGTGAATTGCAACTGCAGAGCTGATATATAGATAGGCTTTGTTGCATTTAATAGTTCAGGAGGAGCCCCATAGCCCCAAGAGGTGGAAGGCAATCTCATTTTTGGAACATGTAGTTGTATATTTATCTTATTGCTTCAATTATTGTGTGATCTAAAGGTTGTTTAGATCTTTGCAGCAGTGATGCTCCCCATAAAAAACGCTTTTGGTAAAGAAGCGATTCCCTGGAAAAAATGAAGTGTGTGTGAGATGAATACACATCTCCTCTTTCCTAAGGTCCTGTGCAGTGAAGGGTCCCGTATTTGATTGAGGAGCCTTGGCTTTGCTGCAATCTATCAGTCAGAGCTCTGCTTTTGTCTGACTCTCAGCATACAGCAGCCTCTGTGCCTCACTGACAAATCATCCATTACCTGTGGATGAAATCCCTCAACTTATCTCTTCCCTGGATCGATTTACAAAGATAGAAAAGAGTAAGAGGGCAAAATGTAGCAACAATCGGCCTTTAACTAAATAACAGCACATCTTAGCATGAGGCCTGGTTGAAGTGGCACCTGGAATTAAGAGCAAATTAAAATAGGAGGTTGTCTTTTTGTAGGATTGTGTGTAAGCCAACAGCAGCCACAGCTGCTCCTAAAAGGCCAAGTCTACAGTAGCTGTTTGATCTTCCTTCTTCATTAATAGTTGACTCTAAGGCAGACAGATGCTATTCTACTGCTGTACCTTCTAACTATAATACACAAGCCTCAGAAAACAGTGTTATAGAAAGTTTAGTTTAACTTCATTTTTTATACTTCTGTTTGATCTGAATATGGTCAGAAGACAAATTATCCATCAACTCTGGAAAAACCATTTATTTTTCTGTCAGTCTCACACACACACACACACACACACACACACACACACACACACACACACACACCTAAATGTAAATGTGAGTTTACACTCTGACTTCCAAACTCTAGATGTCCACAATATGCAACCCTCCTAGAAACAGTTTGATGGTGTCCAACGAATGTTGATTTTAGTAAAGAACATTTGCTTTTCCATTTTCCTAGAAATTCAGCTCATCCAATCCGGCGATGCGCCACGAGTTTCATACATCAGGTCCGCTGGCGTACAAATAAACTCTACACTGTACCAGGGCACATCTGGGTTAGAGAAAAAGCGAGACCATGTGACATCACTCCTGCAGTTTGTTGAAGAGCAGCAAACACACAGGGTAATGCAGTCTCAGGTGTGGCTTTTCAAAACTCGATGCAGGTGACACCCTCTGTAACTTTGTAGTGATTAATGCAAAGCATGCCAAAGCGACACCTTATTGAATGGCCCGAGTAAAGAAAAAATAAAAGAAATTGTGGCAGCTGCCAATGGTATTGCTCAGACTCCTCAGACACACCTATGGCATCAGTTTCAAAATCCTACGTCACCTTGTTATCGAGTTATCGCACTCACAAAACTTCAGGAAATGTGACCTCTGACCTCAAGGTTAAGGTCAGTGAGAGTCGAACTCGTCCAAATGTTTTTTAGTAGATACGTCTATGGTATCAATTTAAGGCTCCTACGTGGCCTCCTTCTCAAGTTATCCCATTCACAAGTTTAGGTGTGTACAAGAAGATGAACCCAGGAATGACGACACTTTTAGTGAGACCCTGCGAGCCTTATCAGTATGATTATGAGGTTTGAATTTCATTTTTTGCAGAGAGCTATAGGTTATAGATATATTAAACTGTTTTGCTTGTTGCTTTTTTTTCTTTCTTCTTTTTTTTTAATCATTTGCTCTTTTGTCAGAACCTTGCACTGCTTCGCGATCCTGCACCACAGTCTAAGTACTCCAGACAGCTTTAGTCAGTAACACAGAGGGAACAAGTTATTTATTTCTACCAATATTCTTCTTTATGCCTGCTATAGTAGAAAATAAATAAATATCTTCCGTCTTTTTGGTGGATGATCAACAAGTTTGGTAAACATATTCAATTTAAATGTCACCATTAATTATCTGCAAGAATATGAATATTTAATGAGTAATCACAGCAGTGCGGGAGATGATCAGATTAAAATAACAGTACATTACAATAACACGACTCCAGGACCTTTAATACTGTTGGTAAGTTTTACTCTGTGATGTTGGAATAAAGGGTTGCTTTTTAAATTAAACTTTAATCATGTATAGTATTTCTGCACTGATGCAGTATTTGAAACTAATATTGGTGACATCTTGATGCAGAAAGCTGGACTGTATCGATGACAACCGGCCTGTCTGTTCAGTTGAATTCAGGTATTTCTAACAGTTAATGGTCAGCAGTTTAGAGTTATATCACAGCTTTTCTTTGCACTTTTGCAATTGTCTTTGACTTTACCGCAACCACACCGAGCATTGTGAACCACCTGCTTGGGATACGAGTCTGCAAGACAGTGTAAATGTACAACTACTTCACTGCGCACAACACAAGCCTGTGTAATTTTATTTAGAATGTTCAAGCACCAGCGTCAGCTCCTACAACCCACATCGCAACGCTTACCAAGAATACACCGAGACAAACATCTACAGTAGAAATGAGCATTTTATCACTAGAATCGAGCACTCTACTTATTTCTGTGCTTTTGTAACCTGCTCCTTCTCCACAACACTCAACACCAGTTGGAATTTGTGATGAAACGCATTCAAAAGTCTTGGTTTGGACATTTATGAGCTGCTGTGGTCACAGATTTATGTTTTGGCAGCTCATTAAATTCAAAAGAAAAAAGAAAAAAAGAAAATGAGAACATTTCTCAAGGATCAGCATCTCTGCCCATGAAAAGCTGATCTCTGGGATTCCAGCCAGTCGCCAAACAGCGCAGGGCTCAGTCGGTTTCTCTGCACAAAGCTGATAAAAATCACAATTTTACTTGGGGCATTCAATAAATCTGACAGAGAGAGAGAGGGAGAGATATGCTCAAATAAGATGCATGATTGGCATTTTAAGGGATCCTGAGTAAACAGCAGCAAGTACTCAATGTGTTGAGATATTTGCAGGTTCTGGCTGCAATTACAAGCTAACATTTTTTTATCTTACCGCTCTATTGTTATACTCAAGCTGTTTTGCAGTCCTCTCACACATTTTATTAAGATGCTAACCACACCTGGCTGTCTGGGCCTTTGATGCCAGCTGAAGAAATAGATGTCAAAATGCCAACCTGGAACATAAATTGAAGGCTGGAGATGAAAACAAGGCTAACCTATAAGCAGCGCTGTAAACAGTAGCAGAAAGCCATGTTAACCTCTTGTCCTCCCTTTCAGATTCCTAAAAGACCTTTTCTTACCCCCTAAAGTGCCTGAATTAGAAGTTAAATTTAAGGATCTTTCAAATTTAACTCCCCCATAGTTGTTGCTGGGAGCTTGCCTGTCAGAGATAAGCACTGGTGGTTGGCCCATATAGCCATAATCTTGAACATACAAAGGTGTGAATGTTATCAAATACTATTTTAGGCTCTACAGTGAATTGCACTTTGCTGCTAACACAGCTCCTGCTGGAAACGGCATGTGACGGGTTGCGAACACTTCCCTGCTGCTCAGACATGATGCTCTGCATCAGCACTGCTTCTTGGTGTTGAAAGGTGATAATGAAAAATGCAAATGTGGCTCCTTAAAGAGTGCTGGATGGAGATTGCCGGGGATATGCTTTCTCCAGGTAAAAGAGAGAGAGAGAAAGTGAGAGAAAGCTGAACTTGTCTGCCGTGGACCTGGCTCCTTAATAAAAGCAGAGGATCCAGAGGAATGTTCCACGTGGTTCTGGGCTGCTAGATCACTAGAACAGGTTTCCTTGTAGGACCTGCATACCAGAGGGAGGTAAGCCCTGATAACAAGGAGCACTTGCCTGCACTGGGTCTCTCTGATTATCATACTTATCAGATACATGTGCAGGAGAAGAACCGTGTGGGTCTGAGCTCTAATGCACAGACAGTGAACACATCTCAGACTAATTTAAATGCATCATGGGTCCCTTTTATAAACAGAGGCATTGCTGAATTTGAAACATCTGAGCATCTCGAGCAGCAAAGAAATACAGCTTGTTTTGGTTGGAAAATGCTCTGAGACCTGGGAAGGCAGTTAGCAGCAAAACAGCTCTGAACAGAAGGTGAACGGAGCTTCTTTTCAAAACTTTTTGTCCACATATCTTGAAACAAGCTAAGAGGCCTGGCCTGATGTTGTATATCATCATGGAGCTGACACAGAATTTGATCAATGGCGCCCAAGGGGAATGGCACTATTTTTTTTTTTTTTTTAAACATGCTCCATCTTTGCAGATGTCTAACTGACAGCTCTGCTGTAAATCTGCTGATCGAATTGTATCCCTCCTGTTGTTTTTCCTCCAAGTCTGACTTCTTCTGAACAAGCTGGCACCGGAGCCCCATGAGAATAGAAATATCAATTTTAGATGAGTGACAGTGAGACATCTAATGGTTAGTTCCTGCATAGCCACATCTGCTCTGAGTTAGAGCTAATACGGAGATGGTGAGATTAGATTCAGCCCATGCATGATCGGGCATATTCTGCTCCAAATTATAAACCGAGGGTCCTCCCCTCTACAAAAATGGATGCGTGGCAAAGAGCTGATTCTACTGAACTCCCTGCTGTTTGTTTACATGTAGAACACTTTATGTAAACAGTCGAATCCTTTTTATTATTTTTTTTTTTATTGAGGCCACATCTCAGCAGGTGCTGTCACAGTCTTCCTGTTAGTGTGGTTGTTTGTGTACATATTTCATGCACAAGCCTTTGCTTCGCGTAAATAGCCTCAGACAGTTCCAGCCCAAAACAAAATAAGCCTGCTGATGCATAACAGCCAATCCATCTGGAATGCGTCTCCTCGCTACATCCACACGAGCTGTCACACAGCGGCAGAGCCATTAGATATTCCTATTTATTTTTTATTTCGTTCAAAAGCCGATTATCATGTCAGTCAGATGATTTTCGTACAGGATGTCTGAGTCGTCGGTACACAGCTGGATGCTTTCATATCCTCTCTGCACTCGAGGTTATATTGAAAATCAATGCATGTCCATTAGAAGAGAGTTTGAAATTACATACACTGGAATATGAACTACTGTTCTGGTGAAAGACAGAAGTCAAATTACCAATGTGCCATTATTTATTAAGGCTCTGTTTTTACTCGTTCATTTACATCCTCATTGTACAGAACACCTGCTGGACTCAGACAAAGACCAGACGGCCTCTGCAAGAGCTCACTTCTATTAAATAAACACAGATTCACTTGCCAAGATTAAAAGATTCAGTTTGTAGACATCAACAGTGTCAGGTTCACACTCTCAAGAACCAGACGCCTTCTACACAAACCAGATTCTGCAGATTCTGAAATTTGATGAATGTGGCCCTTCACTTTGTTGGCCCGAGCTCCACTATGCTAACGCTAAGCGGTGGCGGGATGTGATGATCCTGTTGCGTTTCCACTCACGTTCAGGACAAAAGCTAATCATTATCAGTTATCTTTTATTTTTATTTAGTCTATAAAATAGCGCTCTACAAGTATTCACAGGCCAAGATAAAGTCTATACACTGCTATTTTTTCCCTGGACACTCAAAGATATTTAATTTTGTGCAAATGGAAAAGTAAAAAGGTGCACGATTAGGAAGGATTCCAGCCATACTAACCAAAAATCTCACAGATTTAACTTGGCCATGTAAGTCATCCTCTTGGTCAGCGCTGTACTACTTCCTGGGTGGTACACTTTTAACCACTTGAACTTCAGTGATGTGTGCTGGATCTGCTCCGGTGTTTCAATCCAACGCCTCTAACTTATTTCAGAGGAAAACAAACCGTCAGGGAGGCACAGCTACTGGGAAGAGCAAGTTTTAAGCAAAGACTGTGGTCTAAACTGTTTGTGCCAGTTCTTCCTTCCTCTAGTGTTGCAGGGTGTTAACAGCAGGACTGTGAGCTCTTCTGCTGAAAATTCATTGATTTTCTGGGAGGCCCAGTTCTCATTACAGTGCTCCCTGACCTGAAAGTCAGGCTGGTTTGACACAGAAGATGTTTGTCTCTCTAAAGTCAAAGTGCAACTGGTCTGAACAGGACTTCCAGAGAAAACAGCAGGAGCACAATAAAGAGGGGACTGATTTCCAAAAAAAAGAACTTTCTGATTACACCTTGCATCTCAATGTTTAAAAAAAAAGAAAAGAAAAAAAGAAAAAAAGAAGTTAATTAGACCACTAAAAAACCCAGACTTATGAGGAACTGTTGCACCAGCTGCTTTGTTTGTTACATTTTGCCTTTAACCTCTTTTTCCATTGATGATGAAACACCATGACACCTTTGTGTTTTGCAGCTTTTTTGCACAAACTAAGCATTCCCCGTGCCTCCCTGAGCTCTGAGTGTCTCCGTTTGGCCGCACTGATGTTACAATATGCAAGATACTCTGCTCAAAGACATAACAAGTGGAAAAAATGCTGGCTGTACTCTGTGGACATCCTGTGCTGAGGCTGATTTGCAAAATAAAAAAACAAAACTCCTTTTTATGTCATGTCACTTCTTACCAGTAAGTAGCCAGTGGCAGGGTCAGCTGTCATCGACTCATTCTGAAACGTGTTGGCCTGAACCAGCTCCTCCTCCTCCCTCCTGTCCTTCTCTCCGCCATCATCATCATCCAGCTCATCCAGGCTCTGTGATAAGGTGATGACAGATGAAATTAGGAAGTGAAGTGGACACAAACTATGTTTACATGCGCCATCTGTGTCAAGGTTGGTAAATTAAAGAAAACTTCATGCACACAGATCTAACATTGGTCCCATTTTACCAAATTTGCATCATATAAACAACTTCCTTGTTGGTTGCATAACCGTATATCGCACGAGGGTTGAGGAATGAGGAATCATTTGTGCATTTGTGTTTTCAACAGGCAGCTTGTCAGCAGCCAAACCTCTTCTCTAAGCAAAGTTATGTTTTTTGTTTTTTGTTTTTTTTACTGTATACAGATGATAAATATATTGTTTTATCTAAGCATCTTAACAGTGAGAGACAAAAACAACAGCTTCAAGTGTTCACCACACTCTAAATATTCACCCAAGAGAGATGCATGTGAGAACAAATCTCCTATAAAGCCAAATCAGGCCTTAACTTGTCCAAAAACAAAATGCTGAGTGACACACCGCAGGACAGCCTCCTGATGTTGGCCTTGTCGACTCACATTATTTGCTGTGTGTCAGCAAATAAAATGGCATTTACAGGTTTACTTGTTTTTTCTGAAGCAAAATTGGGGACAAACATAAGCAGAGAGTCAATTATTGGTGTCAGCATCAACTGTTAGCCACAGGTGTAGGTATCAGACCAGAACTTCACAACTGGTGCATCCCTGGTGCATTCACTAGTAGCAGGTGGGCGTCTTTTGTCCTGCCTCTGCTTGTTGCACAACAGAAGCTCCCTCACATTAATCCAGTAGTTTGAAGTGAACCATTTCCAGCTGTGTGCAGCATGTGCAAACTGAAAAGTTCAGAAAATGACTGACCTAATTATCACAATAATGTCAAGAATTCCTCTGTGAAAAAGGCTTTGGGACAGATTCTGTCTGACTTTTTATTATTTTGTATAAAAATATGCTCAGCTTGTTACTTTTTATACAATCTGCTTCTATGAATTCTTTATTCTCATCTGAAACTTTGTTTACTCTTCAAGATAAGTGTACAATCAAACCAACCCCACCCTCCAGTGCTTAACGGGTTGCTAGAGTCAGTCCCCCAGACAAATCCAACAGTAACTTCCTCATTTTATTGCATTTGAGTGCACTGACAGATGCGTGGTGACAAGCAAGGTCATTCCCACAGTAACAGCAATATTGACCTCTGGCTCAACACAACCAGGGTCTCCTCTTAATCCTCTTCAGACATGGTCACATTCACTTCCAGGAATCCCCCAGGAGCTACAGCTCAAACACTACCCTAATGCCAGATGGACTCTAGTACGGCAACAGGAAAACAGTCTGCACTCGACCTTTCACCTCTTGAGGACAAGTCAGGGGGGATTTTTGACCACTGGAATGTCCCTTGAAAACACAATAAAAGACACAATATAAACATACGGAGTGCAAACATCCCTTTGACAGAGGCTAGCAGCTTTCATAATCAAAGCAGAGAGCTTTCGAATAGTCTCGGAAAACCAACTTTACTTCTGATAATCTTAATTTTTTATTTTTATCTTAAAATATCTGCACAGCCCAAACTTCACACTGAGATGGAGTACGACAGAGTTACTGGGTTCATCTGTCAGGAGCGGCGGAGATGCATTGCACAAACACATCTCAACACTGACGGCCGGATCGTGACACGAGACAGAACGGGGGCCAAACTCCCAGAGGGGACAATGCAAACCAGGCTTTCCTGTTTTACACCGCAGGGTGAACAAAAGATGGCTGCCCAGCAGACCCTTCATCGGTAAAAATAGCCTTACAAGGTTAAAGAGGAATGCAGTCATTTGCAAGGCTTTTCCTGCCAAACTGTTTATCAGTTGTCCTTGGGGGAAATGCCAGTTCCTTTTGAGTCTCACTCAGAGCTTAATGCTAGCACTCTCCTCCACCTCACCGGTGCTCTCATCATCTCCCACACAGACACCTATGGAGGTATCCCACGATGGGGCATAATTAGGAGATTAAGAGCAATGATATATGGAAAATGCCATAAAACAGAGTTCTGTCTGTGTCAACGCAGAGTGGATTGCGCAATGACTAACCACTCTGCTATGCACAAACTTTCCTAAAATGTGGAGTTGGGAATCTCGAAGTTTATTTTGGAAAGAGATGGAGCCCACTTTGCTCTCTAGTATTCCAAATTGCTGTGTTTCTTTTTATTTCAGCTAAAGGAAAAGGGTATCTGTGCGAGTCCATATAAGGGGTGTTTCTGCTCCTGACATCATCATAGTGTTTATTTTTCTGGCCAGTTTCTTACCTTGGGCCAGCTGGGCAAAGCACTGAAAGTGCTGAAGGATGAGCGTCCAGGGCATTGACTGAATGCCTTGAGCAATGTATTTGCATTTCAACATTACACATAATTTCTTCAGCCCAAATAGTGTCACAGAAGTAATGCAATGTTCTGTAGCACCACTGTAGGGGCCTCGAGAGTCCCCCTCTGAAACGCATCACTCTCCACAAGTTTGTACATACAAGGACACACTTATAGCAGCCACTGTTGGCCTATTCTTTGCATATTTTAAAAACACTTTATATTTCTCTGTATACAAATGATATAATCTGGCGTGCATTTACCATTTTGCAGACAATTTTGTGCACACTTCACTGAGGCTAAAGTTCATTTATAACATAATCTAAATAAGTTAAGAAATTAAGAAGTGAAGAGCAAAGACACGTGTCCTCCCCCAAACAGTTTTGGAGAGTCGAGTGAATGCTGCCCAGCTGGGACCGATTATCTGCGGGAGAAGCACTTTTTACACAATGCTAAACCCTAATTAAGATTAATTAAAAATACACTGAATGTTCTAAGATCATTAAATGTTGAGCCAAAATTTAAATGTACCAAAAGTCAAGGCACATACAGTAAACAGAGGTATCAGTTTGTGTACTGATGATATTAAAAAGATCATTACAAACTTCAGTGTTAGAGGACATCTCTCCAGAATCCTCTCTGCTTCCTGTTTACAACAGGACCAAGTGTCAGGGCGTGTTTACTTAAGAAAAGCACATATCCTGCTCCGCTTCAGCCTCCAGGCCTCTGACCGTCACTCTCCACATGAAGAATAAAAGAAGCTACATCTGGAGCAGAGCTTCACGGTCTACTGGAATGTGTGTTGTGGTTGGAAAGTTTCTCCGCAGGGAGGAAAATGATCACTCATCTATTCTGAAACTCCATCTCTGGCAGCAACAATGCAAAGGCTACAGTCTTTGTCTGCAGCACAGCAGGCTGTGTGCTTTACTTCCCTGCTCTTTAGCTTTTAAATGTTGGTCAAAGGGATGCTGTGTGATGGGAGAGGTGATGGGTTCCCAAACTAAAGTGGCTACTTTCAAATCATCCACATGAAAGACAACAATAAAAAAAAAAACATTTTAACTATAGTATGCTAAAGTCTATAATCATTATTATACACTGAATTTTCACATGCCAAATAGGGTGAACACATCATGATCTTGAGAGTAAGAGAGAGCTTAATCTAACAGAAGTAGCAGAAGCCTGCTTAATCTACTTAAGACATTTTTCTTTATATGTCTTATTTTAAAATGCACAAAAAATAAAGCCTCAGACTGAGATCATTTTAGTTGGTTGAACACATGATTCAAGTTTCAAACCAAGTGTCCACAAAAAGCTGCTCAGCAACAGCTCAGCAGAGGTAGCTACAGCTGCAGTGACTTCCATGGCAAACAATCTGTACAAACTCACAATCTGTATTCAAGGGAGAAATGTGTACAGTGTGTCACTCGTCCCGTCTTCCTCCCCTTAGCCCCCCATGGCTGTTCTTCCCTGACCCTGGTTCTGCTGGAGGTTTCATCCTGTTAAAAGGGAGTTCTCCCTTCCCACTGTCGCAAACTTCATAAAGGGGGTTGTTTGATTGTTGGGGGTTCTCTGTAGCATTGTAGGGTCTTTATTTTACAATAAAAAACACCTTGAGACAAAGATAACCCAAGAAAATAAAAAATAAAAAGCAGTTTTTAAATGATGATTTCATTGATTGAGGAAGAAAAGATAGATATGTGGATTAGTCAAATTCCTGACCTGAATCCAATTGAGATGCTGTGGCATGACCTTAAAAGGGTGGTTAATGCTCGAAAACCTTCCAATGTGGCTGAATTACAACAAGTCTACAAAGATGAGTGAACCACAATTTCTCCACAGTGCCGTAATGAGACTTTTTGCGAGTTATCACAAACACTTGATTGGAGTTGTTGCTGCTAAAAGGGTGGACCAACCAGTTATCAGGTTTGGGTTCAATCACTAGTCCACAAAGGGCAATGTTGGTTTGGACTTTTTCCCCTTTAGTAATAAACACCTTCAATAAGAAACTTCACTTTGTGTTTTTACTTATCTTTGTCTAATATTTAAATTAGTTTGATCTGAAACAAACTGTTCATCCAGACGTAGCACAAAATGCTACGTCCGGATGAACAGAATCAACTTTTGGAGACTGCACCACAAAATGTCTGAGCTACAGGAGGGCCTGGACAGGAGGGTCCCAGGATGACCCCTTTACACGTTTTGGCTTCACTGCATGTTCACCTTTTAACCGTTTTGTTTTGGCACGAGATAGCCTGTCCCTTTTACTTCCACTTTCTCATACTCTGTGCAGATCCAGTCTAAACATACATTCTGTCAAACTGCCAACAGCTCGACCACTTAGTCCTCAGATTTACCTCCAAACAAGCAAAGGGCAGCTCCAACAAAGGCACGCTCGTATACAGCAGACTTAATGACTTCTGTGTATTAATCACCTGCCACTCGCCACAGCACAGTGACTTCATTAAGATGATCTATTAGGGAAGAGGTAAACTGGCACACCGATGCCCACTGTCTTTTAATCAAGACTGCCAGTCAAGCTCAGGTAACGGGCACAGACAGGCACAGCACTGCGCTCAGGTATGGCAGAGATCAAAGAGAGGACATCTGCCCCGGAGCTGCAGGCTGATTAATGTGACACCACCGACTTGCCAAGGTCGCCGTTAGGTGCGGCAGAGGTATGCCAACTCTGAGCAAGAGTGAGACATCATTTGACATCCCCCCCAAAATACGACTGGATCATCGCCAGGAAAAATATTACATTTAATTCTCCAAAGAAAATATTTTCTATTGCTGCCTGTGGCCTCCAACCAAAAAAAAAAAAAAAAAAAATGTTTTCTTTAATCAGCTACTGGTATGTCTGAAAAAAGGCTGAGAAGCAGAAGACACTAGATATCCAATGTGGGGTTTTAGTGTGAAAACAGGGTGAATGTGTGCGTCCAGAACTCAAGCAACTGAAGCTTGAATATGTCCAAGATCAAATGAATCATGATTTTGGTTTCTTAAGTATTTGCTGAGTTGTTATTAGGGTTATGATCTGATATCCTTTTCTTGTTTCTTACGTCTATTGTGTTTACTACTTTCTGCCCATACCAATTGTCTCACTCGTGTCCAAGTAGCCAATCAGCTTCCAGTGTACCACCACAAGTGGCCAGATCACCTTTGCTCTTCCAGAATCTTACCTTTCCATCCATCGCTTATGTTCCTTGATTTTATTTTTTCCTTGTATTTTCTTGTGTATTAAGTCTTGTTTATTTTTCAGATTTTTGCTGCTCTCCTGGTTTCTTTTGGTGGATTGCATTTGGGTGCTCTGCTTCTGTGGTTTGTTATATTTCCACATGCCGACACATAACCAACATTTATACAGAGGAAAGGACATAAAAGGCACATAAAAGCACCACTTCTCAAAACACTAAAGCTGTATATTTTAAAAAAGGTCTACCACCACTTCATTTATGATTTATCACAGTTCACAAACCCAGTCCCGCTATATCTATCCTTTCCAAAATCAGATGCCTTTGCATTTGGTTTAAGTCTCAAAACTGTACAGGGGGGCTTTTTTTTAAAGATAGGGTTGTTTAGGGACAGAGTCGAGTCAAACAGCGAACATGACTTTCCCAAGAATCAAAAGCTTTCATTGGCCTCAAAGCCCCGGGCTGCTTTCTTTAAAATGTTTATCGAGCAAAATCTTTCACTCTTCAGCTTTGAATTCTGAGTCTTGACCCTCATTTTCACTCCAAGTGAGAATATAATATTTTAATCAGCACTTCGCCAGACCTCAAAATGAGTTCCCTCTACACGGGGGGTTCTGGAGAGGAAGACGAAAGAAAGAGAGAGAAAATACTTTCTGCAAACAAACAGGGGCGCGGCTGTTATTACTGAGAGAGAGAGAGCAGCATCAGCTTCCTCGGGATGCGTTAGCCTGGGATGAAGGCCTGAGGGCAGGCCAGTTGGGCTCAGCAGGTCTGGGCAAAGATCTCTGACAGTCTGCAAAAGCTTTAATACATCTGTGGGAAACAACTCTATTCATGCTTTTAAGTTTGCCAAACTTGTTGTTCTCCTGTCTATAACCTCCACAGTAGGTTGGAACAGAGCACCGACTTCGACCGGGCTTGTAAACAGACTGGCCGCGTGTCCGTTTTAAGTATGCGCTGGCAGGGTTGAGAGGATACAGGAATATTTACAGTTTTGGGGAGGAGGGTCACTGTTTAAATGGCACGTTAAACTCCAACACCGCAGACCTCCACCAACAACCACATGGCCCCTGCTCAGCCCTCAGCTCAGTGATGTGGTACTCAGTGAGAAGTCTGAAACCAGAGACAACACGATTGCAGAGATGTCCGTGTCTCCATGCATGTGGTAGACATGCAGAGAGAAGCCACAAAGTCAAATTGGATACATTTGCATAAATATTTAAAATGTTAGTCCCAAAGAATTGTATTGCAGAGTCTGGTTCTAATTTTCATTAATCTTAAGCCCTGATATTATTATTGGCCCTAAAAATAGCATCAGTTAGACTAAAACCAGGTTTATTATGGGGAGTTAAAAGTTTTCATATATAGAGTTCACCTGTTCACATCAGTTCCCCAAAGGAATTGTATTTATTTTCCATCCTTGGTGGGCAACACAAAACCATGGAACTGTACAACTGAGAGAACAAATAATTGGAGTTTATCAAACAGAAGACTACTGCTGTGCAACTGCTGTTACAGAGCGAGTTACAGTGGACCCCGCCGGACTAGAGGCACGTAAAAGAGTGTTAGACAGTCTAATCATGTGCTCGGCCACTAACAGTAACAGCAGCCAAAGAGAGAACTGCTTTTACCAAAGTAAGCAATTACTGGTAATTTACAGCAAAATTAATGAGGAAGCAGTACAATTTTTTACTTCCCTAAAACCTCGCACTCTATTAAAAAAGGAAAAAAGTGAAGCTAAATCCCATCATGACAATAAGTTTGCATCTGAATTTACAATTTTCTGTAGAATCTCTTGGGAAAAAAAACAGATTCCTGGTCCAAATCTATTTGGATTCACATTTTTTCCTTAGTTATGTTCATGACTAGTCCACCAGACAATTAAACATTATCCCATTTGCTATTTGACACCCCAAAATACTAGTTTGTTACACTACTTATTACCATTTGAAACAATAGACAGCGCCAGTTAACTGCTGGTTCTAGGCTGTTACGTCAGCGCTGTAGCCCCGTCACGACAGCTGCACTAACAAGCTCAGTTCTGCAGTACTCTGGTGCACAAAGTAAAAGGTTTAAGGCTTTAAGGTTTATAATCACTCGGCTGGAACGATGTCTAACTGCTTTCTGATGGAAAAGAAGGCTGCTGGTGCTAACGCTGATCATTTCAGCCCCAGTCTGTAAAGTTGATATAGTGTGTGTGCATGTTACGCACAGTGCCACATGTTTTAGTAAGACATTTTTCCCCATTACATTACATAAGTAACAACCTATCGTAATGCACGATGCCTTCAAAGGCAGCTCTTCAACGTGGATTGAGAGAAGCACATGGGAGGTCAAGGGAAGACTACAGATAACTTGTTTTCCCCTGGTTTAAGTAGGCTTACTCGACTCTCACGCTGCATCTCTGACCCTCAGCTGACCATAAAATGTTTGCGACAGTAACCCCTCTGCATGCAAAACTCGGAAGGCTTTAACAGTAGCAGCACAGCAGATTAGCCGGATTTTATCAACATGAGCCTCCTCAGCTGAATATCAGTCCAGCTGACTCACTGCATCAATGAGAAAAAGAGACGTGTTTCACCTGTCAAACTCTGGCACAAAACAGTTATTATCAATTCAGATCCAGCTGTGGATGAGTTCTAAACTGCTCATTCTAAGCATGACATCAAGGTGAAATTAGGAGTTATATGAAGCAAGTGACATTCTGTGTCAATGGAATACAAATTGTATGACAGGCTGTGCAAAACTATTTGGTGTTGCTAATGGCTGACATTAACCAGTCTTGTCAAATGCTATGAAATTGTGTAATTACAGTTGTTCTTTGGATCCATTGATCCAAAGTTGAATTTTGTTTACATTTGATTAGATTTGCTCAATTAGAGAAAATTAACAATTCTCACTCCTGTATCAATCATATTCTAAAGCACCTAATCCACTTCATGCGTCCATGCTACATGCATTTATTATTTTTGTTTGTTTTTATTATTATTCTGAAACCTAACAAGAATAATGTTCTTTGTTTCTTCCCAGGCATAAACATCTCAGGAAACTAGAGCGCAGACAGGCCCTCTGCCTCATTAACAACGCTGACCCGGATCAGAGGGAAGGAGATGCCTCTTAAAGTAAGAGCACCTTCAGCAAATCAGCTCTTTTGGTTTTCTCTAGTATCAAACATATTGATGATCCACATCTCGGCTCAGAAGTTTTAACTAAAAATTATTTTCTTTTTTGTCCAAAATTACTTTGGTCAACAGAGGTCATTTAAAACATGCTATATATAAACTCTGCCCTCTTCTGCACATGATTGAGGTGGATGATCTGCTGTGGTGACCCCTAAAGGAAGGCGCTGAAAGAAGTGCACTTTTTGAGCTTTAATCAAGGTTACAGTCTTTCTGCTAGGTTAACTGCTCTGTGGGAGTGGATGGTGTACAGTGGAAACACCAACCCTGATGAAAAACCTGCAGCAGGCTGAATGCTATACTTTCCACAATCAAATACATGAGGGTCTATTCATTTAGTCAAAGGTGAACACACAAACATGCGGATGTCTGTGCATCTTCCAATACACTCGAACGCCCCACAGTTATGCACGTGGCCTTCAGGCAGACAGACTGTGCTTGAAAATGCTGATATGAAGGACAAACACTGCATGGTATCCAGACTATAATCAGAACCTCTGCTCAGGAGCCAGGTCAGCAGTATGTGTGTGTTCAACTGGTTCTCTTTGCAGTTATTTAGGCCAGCATATGCAGAGATTGTTGCCCCCTTTCCATCAATGTGGTGCCAATGACTAGTTACCCTAACTACACAAAGAACATCACAAAATTGCTAGGTCGAAGTCGGAACCGCAAAGATTTCACCAGTGATTAGAAGATGGAGCCCTCAGCTTTCATCCATCATGACTTTCTTCCACAATATTTCCCAAACATCTGCTATTAATGTTAAGTAATGATCAGTACTCAAACCTGATTAAATGTCAGCTGGTTTTCAAAAGCAGACCTTTCTCAGGACCAGCACCACATTAGAGGAAAAGTATAAAGACTGGATTCTCGCAGTACGCCAAAATAAAATAGCGGTACATAAATTAGGTATTCATCATTCATTTTCGCTGTTGTCTTCTTGAATAACGAGGCGGCTCTTTTCCATCCTTTGCAAATATCTCCACATTAAACATGCGTCATAGCAGGTCTCATATGTTAGCAAAATTGTGCTGACTTGCTCTGTAGTTTAGCCGTCAAGTGGTTTTTATT